TCTCCCAGACCAGCAGCATAATGGAGGAGCCAATTAAATGATTATTAATTCATGCTACTTTCCGTAAGCCAGGGGTTCTCATCGCCTTGTGTTCCGTAAGCCAGCTTGCCACCTGCCCCAGAAATTTACAGCAATCTTTCATCTATCTCCATTGACTAAGGAGAAAAAAATTCATACAGCTCCATGCTCGGGGTCTGAGTTGGGATAACTTCCCCAGCACACTAGGCAGAAGCGTCACTAGATCTGACAACGGTCACTCCGCTCATAACAACAATGGAAGGAAAGGTGCAGAGCGCTCCTTCCGTAGCCCGTCTTCCTCAGCTTTTCGGGGGCCCCAGACTCTTTCTAGGGCAGAAATGCCTTGTTTTCAGAAGGTCACCTGTGCTGCTGGACTTTGTGCCCTTCACCCGGAGGCGGCGGCAGAGCTGCTCTTGGCATTCACTGCCGCCCCTGCCCCAGGAGAGGCCGGCATTCCCTCCCGCCTCGTGGAGCTACTGCCCTGGACAAGTGGCCAGGGCTGGCGAAACTCCCTTCCGCCCCTAGTCAGAGAGCAGCTTTGCTGCCAACTTGGTCTTTAAACATGCAGGGTTTCATGCTGCCTCCGGCCAAGCACCTCCAGGTGTTTCGAAGAGGAATCAGAGAGAGGCCCGGACTACCCGCCCGGCCGCGGTCCTCACGCCCTGGCTAAAATGCGGCTGGGTCCTCCCCTCCCAGCAAGGTGCACGGCCTCTCTCCAAGTCCAGCGCCGCGAGGGTGAGGCCCTCCCCTGCAAAACCCAGCCCAACAGCACCTGAGAGCTACGCTGCGCCTGGGTATCTCTAGAAAGCATTTTCAAGTACAGCCACCTACTCAAAAAGTAGACGATTATGCCTAGATAGGTAGACCAAGACGTACGGGTCTCAGCAACTTTTCAGATATGTCTCTCTGTCTCGAGAAGGGTTTCAAAGAAAGCTGTTGCACCGCAGACGGCTGTGGCTGGCACCCGGGGAAACGGCGCACTGTTTTTCTCCCGAGTCAAATGTGACTAGATAGGCCAGCAGCTGGAAAATTCAGAAGCTCCTGGGTGGTGGTGGTGGTGTTTTTCTGCTTTTTATTTGGAGATAATTATAGATTCACAGGAAGTTATAAAAATGGTACAGACAGGTCCAGCATCCCCTTCACCCAGGTGTTATTTCGTAAGCAGTGTTTAGAGAAAGTCCTAAGTCTACCATCATTTTCCACTATGACTGTCTTTCTCTGACCATCCTGCTGTCCAGGTACATCTGCGAGGACTCAGGACCTGTGCTTCCAGGCACTGTGCTTGTCTTTCGGGAAGGCTCAGTACCTCGCACACTCAGCAGGAGCTCGGGACTGTTATCTAGTTAAAGGAAAAACAGGTCTCCAAACCTCACACATGTCTCCAAGATCACAACCCTGAGGTTCCACACTTAAGTGTGGTCAGGAATCCCCGGGAGGGTTTGTGAAAACATAGATCACGGGCCCTACACTCTCTGGAACAGGTCTGATTAAGAGACCCTGCATTTCTGGTGAGTGCCCAGGTGGTGGTCCATGCTCCAGGGACCACACTTTGAGAATCGCCATCAAAGCCAAAGCTTCTCCGCCCTGGCCGGCTCAGCGGTTAGAGCATCAGCCTGCGGTCCAGAGAGACCCGGGTTCGGTTCCCGCTAAGGGCACATATCTCGGTTGCAGTTTGTCCCCGGCCCTGGTTGGGTTGTGCAGGTGGCAACCACTCAATGTGTCCCTTTCACGTCGATGTCTCTCTCTCTCTCTCCCTCCCACTCTATCTGAACAAAAAATGGAAAAGTGTCCTCGGGTGAGGATTTAAAAAAAAAAAAAAAGCCAAAGCTTCCTGTAACTGGTAGGAACCAGAACACTGTGTGGTCAGACAGAACTCAATAAGGAGGCCCAGCAGGTGTGGGCAGATCTCCCATCCACTTTCAAAGGATTCCTGCCACCATGATACTCTTACCATCTACACTGAGGGCCAAAGGCCGAGCCTGGTCTCAAAGCTAGACGTTGTTCCCTCAGGCCAAAGGTGAGATTAAATATGGCTGTCCCTGAGGGACGCTCACTCTCACACACACACAGACACTGTTCGAAGAAATCCAAAAGAAACCACTGCCAAGTGTTCTGTAAGCAGTGGAATCCAGAACAATGGCAGACAGCCTTGCTCATGGGAGTCTTGGTTTTCCCATGTGTCCAAGAGAATCTCTGAAAACAGGGCAAATGACTACAGGCTCTTCCACTTTGCAGCAGGAGGAAGTACCTTTCCAGTGCTGCCTTCCAGGTCTCGGCAGGCCACACCGGCCCCTGCTTCAGCCTGGGGAGGATGCAGGAACCCAGGCCAGCCCGTGTGCGATGCCAGCAGGCCGTGCTGTGGGCCGGCCTCCCCAGCAGGCAGCGGGTGGAGTGGCGGGCCCATGCCCTGGGGGCCCCAGCTGCCTGCTCTGCATCTTTGGGGAGAAAATGGTGCTAAGCCCTACATCAGAGGCATCAAACTGTTGCACTAATTCCTTATTGAAATATGCATAAGGTTGCTTAACTACACTGATCTGAGCTCCCAAAGGCCATCCACAATTCGATTTCAGGATACCTTGTTCCTTCTGTGTCAGGTTTCTGAATGAACCACCAGTCAAAACAGAGCCACCAGTTACCACCTGATTGAGACCAACATTGGCTGATGGTCTATTTAACAGCTTCTAGACATCGGACTTTCACCATAAGCCCTTGTGCCACGAGCTGAGGACCACAGGGGCCAAGACCCGATTTCTCACTTTGAGGTATCGCCAGCCTGCCTGCCTTTGGCCTCGTCAGCTTCCACAAGCATCCTGTCTCCCCCCGGCAGAGGCTCCTGAGCGGTGCACAGATGCCACCTGTGGCTGTGGCCACAGTCAGGGGACACTCAGGGCCTGCACTGTCACTCTGCCCTCTGGCTGAATTGCAGGACTGTGCCGACCACGGACATGGAGGACCCCGGAACGGGAAGGGCCTTACAGACACTTGAACTGACAGAAAAATGGTCCAGAGGTACAAGATGTAGGTCAAAACAAGAAGCAATGTGGGTCATTCTGGGACGAGGCCAAAGTTAATTAACAGAAGCTCACCCAGTCCCCATGGGATCAAACATTAATTGGGTTCTGCAGGGTCGCTGAGCCCTAACACAGGGCAGATTCTCAGAGACTGGAACAGAACATTACTCTGCCAGGTTTCTCTCCATTCTGAACCTATCCTCCTAAGATACTTACTAAATTTTAACAGTGACACAGAACTTGTGAAAAACACATAAACGTGGGTCCAGCATGGTGATGAGACACAAAGGGCTCTGAACTTAGCTTTTCAGTGTCCTTGAAAAGTCACCCTTCCTCATGATGCGCTGAGGATTTCTTTTCTGCTAGTCCAGGTTCGACAGGAGCGTGAGACCACCTGGGAGAACGGCGTCCCCCGGTCTGTCAGGCTGGAAGATGGGAGCGAGTCTCCTCTCTTCTGTAGGTTTCAAGTCACCAAGAAGACAGGAAACATCTCCTCTAGGAATTTTGCACAGTACTGGGAGAGGGAGACCCCCACGGAGCCACGCTTCCGTCAACACTCCTCAGTCCCCACTGAGTCCCACAGCTGGGGGCACACAGCGCTCCACGGGCCCAGGACAGACTATCTGGGCAGGGGTGGGGACGTGGCCAGTGCACTGTCAGGGACTCCTCGGGACTGATGTGTTCAGGGGTCTTCTCCTGTGGCCACGTTCTCTGTACGCCAAGGCGTCCGGCCCCCTGGCTCAGTCATAGAGCACAGTGGTTGGCAGTGCTGGCCACAACCTGATCGGATCTCGGCTGTGTGACCTTGGGCATGTACTTGACTGTACTGAGTTCTCGCTTTCCTCGTCTGTCAACGAGACAGCAGCATCTGCTCCCCGAGTTTCTGCGAGGCTAGCCAGAGAGCAGGCATGCGAAGCCAGCCAGAGAGTCTGGCACAGGGTGAGAGTTCAAACATTTGTTGCAAGGGTTTCATTTTTAGAATTATCTCTGGGAAATAATAAGGGTCCATGTGTGGCCACCTAACCACTGAGTGAGGGGAGAGGCCTGGTTTGAAAGACAAGCAGACACCCTAGGTTTGCCTTTTCTGTATATCAACATGGAGTAATCCTACTCACCCATGGGTTTGAGGCCCAGAAAGCAAAAAGTAGAATAACCTGAACTTGAAAGTGTTTATGGTTATACTATTTTACAACTGATTATTTATGAAACATTCAAACAGCATGAAGCACTTTCTAGGTGCTGGAGAGGACAAAACCAAATGCTGCAGGGTGGGGGAGGGGTGAATGGGCAGAACACAAAAGACTCTGGGGCACTGAAAGTCCTCTGTGTATTACTATAATGATGGACACATGTCTTCTGTACATGAGTCCAAACCCACAGGATGTACCCCAAGAGTGAGCTCTAATGTAGACTGTGGACTTTGGGTGACCATGATGTGTAGGTTCATCATCGATAAAAAATGTACCATTTGGTGAGTGAAGCTGATAATGGGGGAGGCTAGGCATGTGTGGGGGCAGAGGGTCAGCGGAAATCTTGACTTCCCTCTCAATTTCACTATAAACCTAAAACTGCTCTTAAGAAAATAATAATAAAATTTTATTTTAAAAAGATAATGAATGAATATCACATATCCAGACCATCAAGAGCTAACAATTCTGTCTGACAACTAAAGAAACAGGATTTTCAAGTTTTCTCCTCCACTCTTCCTATACTAAGAGAAAACTACCAGGTTATACGTCCGTTAGTATTACAATCTGGGGACTATATCACTGACCCAGAAGGCAAATTGGGGTTTGATCACAAATCTGACATCTAGGAGATTCCATCTCTGAGTCTTAGTTCTCCAGCCTGCAAATAAAGACAATGCTCGGCCCAGGAAGAACCGACAGCCCAATGAACAGTGATCTGAGATCCCATGAGAAAGGCACACGGTGATTTTAAAAAATCATGACCATGATTCTAATAATAGAGGTGCTTCCCCATCAGCACAAAAGCTAAAACTGAAACAAAGCAAGAAAGATTAACATGGCCCCTTTGCAAGAATAATATGCAAATCTATAAGGTATTTTCTATAGTGATGAAAAATGATTTGCTTCTTAATCTACACTTTCACAGCCTTTTATTTATACCGTGATGATAATTCTCATGACACTATAGCATAGTTATGTAATTACATATGATGCCCCGTCTAGAAAGTACGTTCCTGACTTTTTTGTACATCCTGTATCTGCCTTAGATATCTGCAAAAAAAATATTTGCTCAGTTAATGTGGCCGCTTATCTCTCTCTGATTTACCATATAAATTCTCAAAACCAAGACCTCTGACTTACTGGAATTCAGAGATGTACCACACCCTGTATCTATTTTTGTTTCCTAACATAAAAATAGTTCAAATGGTTTGTTTTCCATTGTGAGACAGAATTCTGCCTGCAGCGACGTTAAGCATCCAAGTTATACTGAAAGTGTCCTGGAAAAAAAAAAAGGGCGGGGACAAGTGGACTCTGGAAAAGCTGACATCGCCGCACAGTTCCCATCTGTGTGCAAAAATGTGAAACCAAAAACAGTTTCCGCTGGCAAGAACGTGAGCTACAGGGGAGCCACGCAAGGCAGGCCCCCGGCACCCTCGTCTGCACCCTCCTGCGGGCAAGTTTACCTTCGGGTGAGGCGGGCGGAGAGATGGAACTGAGTGCCGATGGACGCAGACTTAGGCCAGAATGACTTCTGGGGAGGCGTGGTGGTGGTGGGGAATGGCCTGGTTTCCAGCCACTCAAAGACACCCACATGAGTCTCCAAGGATGTCTCCATCCACACCCTCATCACGCTGAGCTCTGACCACAGTGGGACGGGTCCCAGTAACAGGGCCGGCTAGTGACGGAGGAGGTGCCCTGAGGCCCCACCGGGAGAGCGGGCTGGGTACGTCTGATCTTCATGGGAAGAGCCTCGGGGACCTCTGTGGCCTGTCTACACAGGCCCCTGACCTTGCCACCTCAACAGTCACAGACTAGGAAAGTCCTTCCAAGCGACCAGCACTCCGACTTCACAAATTAATATTCTTCAAGATTCCACACTACTGCACACTGTCTCTTCTCCAATTACAGGTTTAAGGAGTTCCAGAACTGCAAGAAATCATTTCGTGCAACCTGCCATTTTCAGACCTGGAAGCTGAGTCCGGAGACCTAAGGTGCTGCGGCTCATCTGGGTGGCAGCGCCAGGTCCCGAGCCCTGGACTTCTAAATAGCAGCCCCGTGGTTTTCCCCACACACAACACTTCCTCTCAGCACATACCTTCTTTTGTCTTCATGGATTACATTATTTTTTAAGTATTTTTTTAAGTCCCTCTCCATTCTCTGTCACAGATAACCTTTCAGGCACTGAGTTCCCCATGCAATGGCATCCCTGTTTGTACAAAGCTGCAAACAACAGGAGAATAGGGGGAGGGCTGGTAATAGGTTTGCACCAGGATGTACCTGACCTGCTTTTTTTCAACCTCAGTAATTACAAAGGCAGCGGGTCTGTAGGAATTATTCAGATGCAGCGAGAGCCACACACCACACATTCGTGTTAAACATGTCAAATCCGATTGAAATCATGCCTGCCAGCACCCCAGTCCATAGCACACTTGTCCCTAGCAGTGGCCCAGACCTCGCCAGCCCGTTAATACCTCCTTTAATAGCAGTCTTCTGCAGATTCAAATCAGGGACGCTCCACTGCACTAATTGCTCTGTGTTAGGTGAGCATCATGGATTAAAAAAAAATTATTAAAATAAGACCCCTTCAGGCCATTCTCCTAGAACAACAGCACTCAAACTACAATTTTAACTCAAAATTTTACAAAAATAGAAACACGGACATCATTTAGGGTTTTCTGAAGCATTATCATGGTGCTAGTTTAAGTTGGGCTATTCTCCCCCAACACCTTTTTTGGTGTTTGTTTTTAGAACAACAATACTGCTACTCATCTGGTCTCAAATTACTTAACTAGACCCAGCTTGGTGCGCCGTAGCTCGAAACCATGGCGGCTCAGGATTTAAACAACCATCTTGCTGTGTTTCTTTGCCAAGAGTTCAATTTTTCCCCTAATTATTGGTGATAAAGCATCACATTAATTGTATATCACTTAATTTATAGCAATTAACGATTGACTGAACAATCACTGCATTAATTATTGTTCAGTTGCTGACACTGGGGGCTCTTCAATCTGGTATACACACTTTCAAATCCTCACTGCTGAGCGAGAACGAACGAGGGCTCATTTTCACATTTCAGAACAGAAAACCACAAAGTTGGACGGTGGAGATGACTGTGCATTAGGGAAGAGCCTTTGCACACAGGACCTCCCTGCACCCGTTGGCCCTACGCAGGCTTTCCACTGGCCCTAAGGAGATGTGACCCCGAAGTGTTTACCAAGGGCTGGTACATGAGGCCACCACTCGCTGTCATGGAGCCCAGGCTGGACTTGGTGGGTACCTCTTGCCCACACTTTACAGAGGTCATACTCTCCATGATGCCAAATCCAGAGAGTCCTTTGCCCTCAGCAACCTCCTTTGGGAAAGGCACAGTGCTGGCACACACGAGGCAGCCTCCTGACCGTGCAGGGCGGTGCCGCTGCGCACCGAGGATGTGCACCTCCTGCTCAGGGGTGGAAACCAGGCCAAACGCTTCGACTGCAAAGCGCCGTTCTTGAGCGCTGGCTCGGTGCACTGGTGACAGCCTGGCTCTGCCCTCAGAGTAAGTGGCAGAGCCGGTTTCCAAATCTGGACCTGTCCACATGCCTTCTGGCCACTTGCCTGGGCTCCAGAACTCAGTTTACTTATCTGCAAAATGGTGTGTGGGGGGAGGGGGCCAGTTACAATATCTGTTTCATGGAACGAGGGTGAGAATCAAATGAAATAAGGTATGTAATCCATGCAAAGTAATGCTTGCCAGCTCCTGTTCATATGGCACACAAAGAAAATGACAGCGAATGGGTAGAACAGATGAAGGTGCAACTGACCCAGCTTCAGCAGCCCCCAGCCCCACCTGGCCAACCCGAGGGCTATGGGGACAGCACACTTGTGTACCTTGAGTCATTTCGGGCAGGCCTGCTGGGAAGGACAGGTGTGCCACACTCGAACGGTCCCTGGCAGAGTTAGAGCTTAATGTAGCCTTACCCGCCTGCGTCTTTCAGGGTTAGTTCTGACTATGTATAGCTGTACTCTCCAGTGTGGTAACCACCAGCCACATGCAGCTAGTTACATTTAAATTCGTTAAAATTAAGTAAAACTTTTAAATTCAATTCCTCATTGTACTAGCCACATTTCAAGGGCTCAACAGGCGTATGTGGCCGGTGGTTACCGTCCGTGCGGCGTAGACGCAGGCCATGTCTGCCAGCACAGCTCCGTGGCGCGGCCCCGCCTCTAGCAGCAGTGTTCTCGTGGCTGCGTCTCATTCCCGAAGGCAACGCCCGTGACCTCGCGGACTCGGGTCAGAGGGGCTCTCTGCCCAGAGCCCTGCACGTGGGTAGAGACCAGCTGTTGACCGTGGGACTGATGCTGCCGGGATTCAAACCACCCTCTTGCTTGTCCTGTTGCTGCTCAAGGTAAAAGACCTGCCATCGAAATACAAGAGGCCCAAACAGGGTCCCTAGGAGACGCCGCGGAGGAAATGAGGAGCCCCATTCCAACGTGAGAACAGCTAAAAATTTTAGTAAAGATTATCCATTCCTGCACAAACCCCCAAACTACATAATCAATAGCTGAGAAAATGCCAATTATCCAGGCCCATTTGAAATATCATTCATCTGCATCGTGAGTAGCCACTAATCAGCAGTACAAATTGTGGAATCACTATTTATTTATTTGCCAGGAGGAAGCACTCCCCATCACAGTTAATCAGATAGGAACAGCTCAATTTAGGGAGTAAATGGAACAAATGCAGACATTTTTCATAAAACACTGAAGATCCCCAAAAAAGCTCAGAAGAGGTTGCTGGCACCTACATCGATTCCAAGATCAAATCGACCAAGTTCCTTAATAAAGCCTGTCATTATACACTCAGACAATATAGACAAAATTATGCTTCAGGTCAAAAGAGGATCATTTGCGGGAATCGGGAAAGAATTTTCCCTTCTCTCTTTACTGCTGCGCAACTGGCAAGGTGCACCCGAGTTCTTCATTCATTCTCTGCCCGGCTGGCCTCTGGCTTTTGGAGATACAGGTTTAGTGTGGCCTGCTGTCTGAACGTATGAGTGAGAAAATGGAGTCTTATTAAAGATGTTTGTTTTTATGGTGCTCATTCTGCGTCTCGTCTTCTAGGAGGCTCCGGACCCCCAGCATGTCCAAGGCACACGAAGGCACACGCCCACGGACTCACAAACACTCTGAAGGCCATCTGGCTGACCCCCTCAGTAAAGCTTGCCCTGACCTCATGTGAGGACTAGAGAAACGCATGCAAAGTGCCCTAAAGGGTCTGGCACACAGTAGGAGCTTTGGGAATGGCAGTCACTCGTTGTCTAGGTGCCAGGAGCCTGGCCTCACTGAGTCCTCACACTGTTTCCTCTCCGCCTCTCCACAGGCCCAGAAGCCACCTGCTGCCTGGCTCCTTCTACAGTCCTATGGGGACCTAAAGAGAAACTGCTACTTGTTCTCCTAACCTCATTTAACTAAACTATTTTTAAAAACAACAAAAATCCTCCCTAATATAGAGCTTACTATATGCTAGGCACTGTCCTAAGATTCCCATATTCAAACAATCCACACAGCTGTCCTGCGGAAGTAGGTACAAGTTTTAATCCCCATCTCATGTGAGGAAACAGGCCTGGAAAGGGTGAGGTACCTTGAGTCAGGTCACACAGCTAGTAAGTGGCAGAGCCAGGGTCAGAAACCAGGCATCAAAACATGAAAACAAAGGACAGAGAGTCCGAAAGGTCACTCAGTCTTCAAACTGAGTTTGTGAAATCTTCTTCCCTGGATCACCTCCTCCAGGCAGACATGTTGAACTGTTGTCTGTTTGCAAAGTTCGATTAGCTCACACCTTAAGTCGTACCGCAAAACCTGGGGTCTCGGTCCATGCAAACTAACCCAGGATGATCCCTCCCCA